TGGTCATGCCCAGTTCACTCTCCCTTTCAGCATTTGCTCTCTGCCCCGGTGCGACACTGAAGTGTGGGCAAGATGGACCTATGGTCTGACCCAGTAAATGGCAGTTCTTGTAGGTTCTCATGTCTGTTCTTATAAATCCCACAGGAGATCACAGTACCTGGCCGAGCACAGCGGTTTCCCTGACAGCTCCGTCTGAGTGCCCTGTCCTGCAGTAGGTAAGAGGGGTATTGGCTCCTTTATTGTCTGTCCAGAAATGCTCCTGTGGCAGCTCTTGTGTGGGCACAAACAGCCCAGTTTCACAGCCCACCCTAGAGCACCCCTCACAACTCCTTGCTCTCGGCCTGTAGCCCTTTGGCTAAGGGGTCTGGAGCAGCCCAAGCTGGGGCTGCCTTGCTTTGTCCAAACACCCAAGGACAGATACTGCAGCCTCATCTCTGTCCATCTCCCAGCCTAGACTTGCCTCTGCCATCGCTAGCTCTGCTCCTGCATCTTTCAATCTCCTTCCTGCCTTCTGTGATGCAAAACCTGTACAATTCCTCCCTCCCGTGCCTAAAGGCAGAAATTGCAGCCTCATGTGTGTCAATTCATGTCAGAGCAGCCCTTAACAAGTCATTGTGAGTGGTTTGTTTAGGATTTAAGTCCATGGGGTGTACTGGAGTATGACTGACAATAATTTTTAAGTCACCTTTATTACAAAGGAGTGGGTCTCTGGATAGAAACATGGGGGATATAACTGCTGTCAGGCTGAAATCTCTTGCTAGCTGCTTTAAGCAGGAAGGAAGCTGCTTCTCTGCCCTGAGCTAAAGTTAGATGGACAGATAGACTGATGAACGTTGGGAGAAAAGTGTACAGGACTGGAGTGGATGGGGTGTTGCTTTGGCAAGCTAAGACTTAGTCTGAGTACACTCAGGGCTCATTTATACCAGAATACAAGGGGGTCAGGGGGAAATGGACTTAACAGTGGGGGTCTACTACAGACCAGCCGACCAGGGAGAAGAGCTGGACTGGGAAGTCTCAGGTCAGCTCATGGAGGCAGGTAAGTCAAAGGACGTGGTCATCATGGGTGACCTAAACTATCCAGACATTTGCTGGGAAGAGCAGTCAGCCAGGTCTGACCGCTCACGTAGGTTCCTAGCCGTGTTACAGTACTTCCATCTAACCCAGGAAGTGCACTGGCCCACCAGGGGAAATGCCTTGTTAGACCTGGTCCTGGCCACAAGCAACGACCTGGTGAGGGGACTGTGGGTGCTTGATCACCTGGGCAATACTGCTGGAATTCACCATCCAGTACAGGGTGGCAAAGGCCTGCAGCAAGACAGCAGCCCTGGACTTCAAGAGGGCAGATTTCATTGAGTTAAGGAGACTAGTCAGGGAGGCACTGAGGTCCCAGAGGGGTGGGGAGTTGGGAGTCCAAGAAAAGTGGTCGATTCTGAAGGAGACAATCCTCCAAGCCCAAAGGGGGGCAATCCCAACACGGATCAAAGGGGGCTAGAGTGCTCAAAAGCCCCCATGGCTCACCAAAAGCATCCAGGAACGTCTCAAAGCTAAGAGGGAGGCGTACACCCAATGGCAGGGAGGGACCATCACCAGGGAGGACTATACCTCCATTGCTCGGGATTGTAGTGGGGTGGTCAGGAAGGCCAAGGCAGAGATGAAACTGGCACTAGCAACCTGGATCAAGTATAACAAGAAATCCTTTTTTAAATACATAGGGGGTAAAAAGAAGGTTCTGGGTAATGTGGGGCCTCTGCAGGACA